TGCCGAGCGCCAGGCAAGGACCAACAAGTACCATATTTTAACGTCTTTTGGTATGACGCGATCGGGGATCTAACCCGCGACCTTCCGCTCTCCGGGCGGACGCTCTAACCACTACACCACGGAGGCGGTCAACATGCGAAGGGGCGATGGATTTTTTCAAGGTAGTCTGTAATACACTGAGGGAAACAAATAAGGGAGCACCACTTTATCGCAGTGTTCCTATATCTGTTCAGAGATGTTCATCCACAGTGTAATGCAAAGCTTGTGAAGAAACCTGGAAAAGAATAAAGGAACATTTGTACTTTCATGTGTTGCCTTCTTTGTTTCCCTCAGTATATTTGGTTTGAAGCTGTAAAATCCATTCAAATTAAGTTACAATGGCAGAGTTGTCAGAGTTATCTGTCCTTGTCCAACCCCCGTGGCGACTCCTAAACCTGGTGTTGGGCTCATTATCAAAGAAAAATGTTGCTGAGAAACAATATATTTTTTTAGTGCTCGTGGTGCAACCGCCACACCGAGATTCGTTATCCCGAGCAATACCATCATCTTGACCTTGCACCTCGGTGGTCAAACATTCATTAAGAATGCATGCCCGTCAGTGACCCTGATTAACTCCTTGTAAGTCGTAATTGATTCCCCTCGCTCCCTGACAGAGGTGTAAATCTGGTTAAAGTTGTATGACGGCGTATTTCACGGGCTCCTCACACTGACATGGGCACAGAGGACAGCCTCTTAGATTGTTCCCCTAGAAAGGGGTATAGAAGTGATGAGTGGAGCTTTGCCTTGAACTTTCCCTGCTTCTGAATAGAAGTGGTCATATAGATCGTGAGTCAATAATGAAGCATATAACTTTATGGATGACAACTTCTTGTTTATTGCATAGTACTCCAGTAATTCTGGCAAATTGTAATAAAAACAATTTTTGCTGAAACATGTAAGTACGTTGTGTGCGACGTTTCGTTGTACATTCTTGCACCGTTATCTAGATGAAGGTGACGCTTTTGTCATCCATAATGTTTTTTGTTCATTCTTCAGTAGAAGTTTAACAATGGCAAGATATACGTCTAATCTGTGTAAGGCTGCGCAATATAACCGGTTTACCGGTATATACCGGTTCAGGCATGAAAATGATACGTATTGCGATTCGTAACACTCGGAAATCTTCGGATATTTCCGTTTTATAAATTGTTCCTTTCCTTTTTTCATTTGTGCCAAATATTATTTACAATTTTATTTTGTCATGATTAAAAGTTTTTATTAAAGCTTAATCAAGCATGGTGATTTTGTTGTGTTTTTGCTTTATAAATCAAGCATTAAGTCGATTATAAGTAGTTTTTTGTTAAAAAAGAACTTCTTGCAATATTGCAATACATATCGCAATATATGCTTTCGCATCGCAATATATTGCAATATGAAAATTCTCTGCAATGCCCAGCCCTAATTCTGTGCGAGCCTTGCACATATGTGTGTGGAGCCTGTCTGATAGTTCGTGCGAATCTCTATTCGTCTGACGGGGGTTAAAAAGCATACTGTTGAAAACTGGACAAAAACGAAAGTAGAGTGAAAACGGTCACCGATACACTGCAAATGTATGGTTCAAAACACAAGTATCATACCAGCATGAAATACACCAATAACTAGATATTGTGTGTTCATTTTAGTTTTCAGCCAGTATCAAAATTGGATGAATACTTTCCAGCTGTTTAGTTTAGCCAAGCACACGTTTTACTCGTTTGTTTCATATTTAGAGGGGCGGTGGGGTAGTCTAGCGGTTAAAGCGTTCGCCCGTCACGCCGAAGACCCCTGTTCGATTCCCAACATGGGTACAATGTGTGAAGCCCGTTTCTTGTATCCCCCGCCGTTATATTGTTGAAATGTTGTGGAAACTGCGTTAAACTCACATATATTTAGCTCTTTACACACGAATATTCAGTGACAGAAACCTATGCACAATTCCATATACGAACTGCGTGGCATGCTTATCAATGAATAGTTTTTTAATCGTTTAATTTACCTTCAGCTAAAACCCTGATCTCCTTATAGAACACAAAGAAATTTGTTCGGTAAGCAGTATTAATCTTCTGAATGCTGATTGGTGGAATAGCCAAGTGATTAAAGCGTTCGTTCGTCACCCCAAGAGCCAGGTTCGATTCCCCACATGGGTACAATGTGTGAAGCCCATTTCTTGTGTCCCCCGCCGCCATATATTACTGGAATATTGCTAAAACGGCGTAAAACCTTATTCACTTACTCAGTGACGTTGATGACGTTAACCTGTTAAGGAAAACACTATGGACGTCATCTGACCGGTCCCCAGCCGCAACGCGTGGTTGCAGAGTCGAGGGACCAGTTTAAACACATAACACCCAATCAGCAGTAAGGAACGGTGGTATGGGAGGAAATTGTGTTTAATGAAGTTCTAGTTCAGCCTGGTGAATGGTTAATTAAGGAACGCGTGCTCTTAAGACCCAAGGCCCCGCTGGTCCGTTCTGAACGAATAATGAAACGACCAATCAGTGGCGAGTATACCGGATGGGATTGAGCTTGGCATACGTGAACAATATCACATCTATTACAAAGATAGATTTGAATTTTATAACCCGTCTATTCCAAAGATGGATTTGAAGTTTAGAATGCCTGACCTCAGCTAACAGAACCGTTTAGTGTGATACAAGCCCTGTTACGGTTGGATGATGGTATATGGGAAAGCTTTTGGTAAAAGTTTATTGATTGTAAGATTGACAAATGTCGTGGAGGATGCTGATTTTGTTGAAACTGTTAGCAAGGATACGGTGCCGTCGAACAAGATTAGGTGAGATAAGATGGAGGTAAAAATGCGTGTTTATGTGTGTATGAATGTATGTGAGTGCCTGTGTTGCAGTTGTGTATTTTGTGCGTGTGTATGTGTGTGGTTGGGTCCTTGTAAGTAGGTGAGGTGAGGTGAAACTGGGCTTAACATCGTGCTTGAGAATATTTCGCTCATATGACGAAGTGCATGCGTGTGTATGTGTATGTGCGGCTGCTTGTACAAGCCCAGACTTAAGCTGGTTTTATAGTGCTAGCCCACTGAGATACCATGCCGCAGTGAAGCATGAATACCCCACTCAAACACATTATACTGACTCCGAGCCGACCAGTCCTTGTTGTACCCATTAATGCCGAGCGCCAGGCAGGGACCAACAAGTACCATATTTTAACCCCTCTCTCTCTCTCTCTCTCTCTCTCTCTCTCTCTCTCTCTCTCTCTCTCTCTCTCTCTCTCTCTCTCTCTCTCTCTCTCTGGTGTGTGTGTGTGTGTGCGTGCGCGCGCGCGTGTATGTACAGTCAGACAAAATGTACTTTTAACGGTAAATAACCGTTTCTGCTTGTCGTCAACGTGATGCCAATCACTAGTTTATCTGGTCCAAATGTCGTTTAAAGATGCCAATCAAATTGAATATCGTTCAGCTCAACAGACAAACAACGGCATTAGTCGTCATATTTTCTCTGATAATAGTACCATCACTTAGGTCAACGTAGATGAAGTACAAAAACGACTGTGCCAGCGATGGAGCTTCCTTCTACGGAGTGTAGGTGTCAACATTGCTATAGAACACATGTTACACTTCAATTCTTTAATTTGCTTGATTTCGCTTCTACAAATCTCTGGGACGGATGGGTAGCCTAGTGATTAAAGCGTTCGCGCGTCACGCCGACGTGGCCCGTGAAGATCCGGGGTAGAATTGGTCTTCAGCAACCCACGCTTGCCACAAAAGGCGACTATGCTTGTCGTAAGAGGCGACTAACCGGATCGGGTGGTCAGGCTTGCTGACTTGGTTGACACATGTCATCGGTTCCCAATTGTGCAGATCGATGCTCATGCTGTTGATCAGTGGATTGTCTGGTCCAGACTCGATTATTTACAGACCGACGCCATATAGCTGGAATATTGCTGAGTGCGGCGTAAAACTAAACTCACTCACTCACTCACGCCGACGTACACGGGTTCAATTCCCCACATGTGTACAATGTGTGAAGCCCATTTCTGGTGTCCTCCACCGTGATATTGCTGTATTGTTGCTAAAAGCGGCGTAAAACCAAACTCAGTCACTCTTACAAATCTATGAGGGGATGTCACGTAACTTTAAACGTGTTGCCCTGATAGAACAAACCAACAGTGATCAATTGTTAATTAAATTGTTTCGAATATGGTTCGGTTTAAAATACGTCTCGCATTTTCCTTTAACCGCTATCGCGCAATCTGAACAATGTGAAATTACAATTCGTAGAATGAAATGTCGTTTCGTAATATACGAAAACATGATTAAATCTCGGCAATTCATTTGAGGCTTTGAGAGAGGTCATATTGCTACATCCGGGTAGTAACAAGGACGTGTGTCCAACTTCCGTTTAGTCAAGTGCGCAACTATTCTTATCGCAGTGATTAAGTGGTAATATGTCAACGGAGCCAATCACTGGGTGACCTTCTCATATTTGCATATCTCGGAGGTCGAAAACGAATAGCCCCTTATATATTCTTTAATAGTTTTAATGAGATTTGATACGGAATATTTTGATTACACAAGCACAAGACACAACCCTAGCATTTAGCAGATTAAACACCACGTCTTTGTATTGGCTGTAATCTAATAATGAAACACTAAGTGTCCATGATTGATCTAATTATTGGGTTAAATAATATCGAACTGTAATGAGTAAATTCATCAAATATTAATACTACGTCGATATGGTTATTGGAATATGAGCTGATACAGATGGTATGTCGACGTCTGATTGGCTGACGCTGTTCGGGTGCCCGGATCGGTGGGAACAAGAGCACACGCGGGTTGACATTGTCTCGAGGAGGGTTATTCTTAGGTCTATTTTAATGGGGGAAATAAATACAACAGCATAAAGCAACACGCTGGGTGTGCACAGCAGGGGAAGGGCATGGCGTATGAATGTCACTGAGTAAAGAAAGTCCGCGGTAAGATATAGTGCGTGGATATGGTAGGCAAGTGC